GGGTGGCCTGGTGGGGGTTGGCCAGGAGGGGGCAGCCCTGTCCTCCTGAAGGAGAGTTGAAAGCTGGGATGAAAGGCTTGAGTGAATGATCCCTATAAACACATTAAAAAGAAACAAAGTTAAACCTGGTTGGGTGTCCCCTCAGCCCCAAAGCTGAGCAAGGAGGCAAGTCCTGAGGGCCTGTGTCCTGCCCTGTTCTGTCAGGGATCCGGTGGGGCAGGTGTGGCCAGTGACCCTGAGAGGGTGATAGGTCCTTGCTGCGGTGGGGGCTCTATGGGAAGAGTGGGGGCAGTGCCAGGAGGGTGGGGCGGGCTTGTGGGATCCCTGGGGCTGGGCCTCGTCTCACTCCCATCCTCCTGCTCCTAGGCTGGTGCCTACCGCACGCTTCTACCCGCTGCGCATGCACTGCGTGCGCATCCTGACACTGCTCTCCGAGGGCACCGACCCCTTCATCCCTGTGCTGCCCTTCATCCTCGAGGTGAGTGGGGAGGTGAGCGGGCGGGGCCCTCACCTGCAGGGCACAGGTGCTGCAAGGGCATCCCCGGTCCTGCCCAGGCTGGTGGCATGTGTTGGCAAGCAGCAGTGATGCTGGTGGCATGTGTTGGCAAGAGCAGCAGTGAGGACAAGGAAGCTGCCTCGTGGGGTGGGTCTGAGGTTGCTGGTTTTAGGGCACAGACCTGGGTCAATCTGGGCATTTGCCCGAGATGAGCATGAGCGGGAGATCCAGGCTGGAATCTGCCCTCTGCACATCCCCGAGTGTGTGCACGAGCGTGTGCATGAGCGTGTGCATCTGCGTGTGCACGCTCACGTAAGCTCCGTTGGGAAAGGCTGTGGTCCACAGCCCAGAAATCCACTGGTGGTCACGCCCCAACCCAGGAAATACTCAGAAGTTCACACCCACCAGACAGCTCAGAAGCTGTGCCTCTGGGAAGACAAAGGTCAGGTTTGTGGTTGCCCTGGAGCAGGGGGGGCGGGAGGGGACCTCGGGAACCTCCTCACTCAATGCCCTGAGGCAGGGACAGTGCAAGATG